CCGAGCCAGGTGGTTCCATTCTTAGATTAGAATAAAGTTGAATATTATTGTAGAATCAAATACTTTTATTTGAAATTAGTAAAAACATATAAATTAATTAAAACTGTAAATAAAGATTTTATAGCTAAAAACGATCTCTTCCAGGCAACAAACAGTCTTAATTTAGCCGCCCCTCTCTTTTGCTCGTCTTGTTCTTTTTCGATCGGACCCATTGTATTCGACAATCAAACACTTTCACCGACAAATGTGACCAATAATTATATGTGCATACGAGGGTCAAACTGAAAGTTCTTAGAACTGGCCACTTATAAACAATATAATAAAAAAATAATTCTTAAATTTGAAAATATAACTCTTTGCCAATATTACTGAGTATATATTTCATTCATTTGTCATTTGTTTTACGATTTGGCGGCAAATTGAAAATTGTCTGTGTCACGTCATCATGAATTTAACACGAGAAAATTTTCGTGCAATGATTTTTTATGACTTTCGATGTCATTTAAGTCAACAAGAAAGTTATGATAGACTACGATTGGCCTTTCACGATGAAGCCCCATCTCGTGCGACTGTTTACAACTGGTTTAATGAGTTTAAACGTGGTCGCACTAATCTCACTGATGATTTACGTGAGGGACGGCCTTCTACGGCGACGACTGAAGATAACATCTGTGTTGTGCGGCGTATGATAGAGACTGACAAAAGAGTGACCTATCAACAGATTCGGACAAGCTTAGGCATCGGTATGAGTCAAGTGCACAAAATCCTCCACGAACATTTAGCGGTCAGGAAGCTTTGCGCCCGGTGGATACCTCATAATTTGACTGAGGCTCAAAAACTCCATCGTGTGGATTGGTGTCGTAAAATGATTGAAAGATTTAACGGAGGTGACTCAAATGCTGTGTTCGACATACTAACAGGTGACGAAAGCTGGATTTACTGTTATGATCCTAAAACCAAAAGACAATCTGCTCAGTGGGTATTTCCTTTCGAGGAGTTGCCAACTAAAGTGAAGAGAGATCGAAGTGCGGGAAAAAAAATGGTGGCCTCGTTCTTTGGAAGGATAGGTCATTTTGCAACAATTGTGTTAGAGGATCAAAAAACAGTTTCTGCAGAATGGTACACTACCAATTGTTTGCCACTTGTCTTGGAAAAAGTTCGAGAGAAACGACCTCGCAGTAGGATCCTCCTTCACCACGACAACGCCTCGTCGCACACCGCCAAGCGAACGATCGACTATTTGGCGACATCAAACGTTGAATTACTGGGTCACCCGCCGTATAGCCCCGACCTCGCGCCTTGTGATTTTTATTTATTTCCAAAAATTAAAGAAAAACTTAAAGGAAAGCGGTTTATGAATGCTGAAGAAGCGGTGGCTGCGTATCGCGATGCCATTGAAGAGACCCCTAAGGACGAGTGGGCAAAGTGCTTTTCCCAGTGGTTCCATCGCATGCAGCGGTGTATTGACGTGAATGGACAATATTTTGAAAAGATATAATAAAACTAATAACTGGCTAATGTAATCAGTTTTTGATTTTCTAAGAACTTTCAGTTTGACCCTCGTATTGTTAAAGTTATTTTGGGTTATCAACTGTAAGCATTTTTACTTTACATCATATCAATGTTTCATCTAGACAATTTTAAATTCAACAGATTCAACAACAATGGTTCAAGGTGGTCCTGCCTGGTTCAGTTACATAACGCCGTAATAAATAATCACAAATGAGTACACGGTTCATTAGGTTACTTTCAGTGAGCTCGTGAGGTACCCAAATATCCAACTTTTTTGTGTACCCAGCTTTTTCAAATGCGACAAAACTATTGACGTCAATCTCCAGTTCTTCAGCTACGCTGTTACTTCCTGTATGCATCCATTTCATCCGTAACAAGGCGACCGGAGCGACGTGCATTTTTGACATCAAAATTTCCGGACTAAAAACGCTTAAATCAAATTTGAAACTGCACTAGGTCCATAAACCTCAAAATCGCAAGCAAAAGCTGAAATGTGCTGCTAATTTAGCCCTTTCATTTGATACCCTACAAGGAATGATTGAATATGTTTTTTTTTAAGTTTATTACTTTATGCTCTCTAGATAACGCTGTTGCCAATTTAATATAACGTCACATAGCCTATAGCACGTAAATAGCTAAGACGCTTCTTATGATACCTAATTTGTCCAGTTTCGATGAGTAGTTTCGAAGTTATAAGAGATCAGATGAACATTTTACAGATGATACAGGACACCAAACTTTGGGACTCCTTACCCGAGTCAATACGACAGGCAAAGTCTTTAGACATTTCCCAATCGCTGCTAAAATCTTTATACCTGTCTGAAGATTAATCTTCCTTTCTTTTCTTCCTCTCTTTTCTTTTTATCTCTTCTTCTCTTTTTGCTCTCCCACATGTCGCACTTTATTTGTCACTAGTATGCTTTCACGCTTTGTATACCTATTAGTTTTGTCATATCAATGTATGCTAACTTTTGTTCTATTTGTCCGTGTAATTTCGTTGTATTAAGCTTGCACTCTCTGCTGATATTTTAATTGTACTTAGTTAAATTTCCGTACTTTGTTCGGTTGCCTGGCAGAAATCGCTATTAAGCAAAAAGGCCGCCTATAGAACAATACTTGTTTAAGATTTTTGTGTATTTGTCTCTTTTCTATTGTGCAATAAAGCATATTTATTATTATTATTTTTATTATCATTCTTACATACATTCATTCAAACCGGCCATAGTCGGGTAATGAATCACACATTTTCCTAATTTGAATTTGAAATTATCTTCTTTAAAAATTAACCTTCTTAATAATACCGAAATCAGCCAGATACAAATGGCAAGAAAGATTTTATTACAAGTTTATGCATACAATATGCGATAGTATTTTTCCTCAACTGTATATTATATTTTGCACAATACAATGTCCTCTGTGTTTATTTATGTCATCCTTTTGAGTTCTGTTATATACTAACCTACTTCGTAAACTCTTCCGAAGTTAAAATTGAAAAGAGAGTTGAGTTTCCATAGCAACTGATATTTATTATGATTATGATTGCCAATTAAATATTTTATTATGTAAGTAAACAATTAGTTATTATTTAACAAGTTCTCTTCGTTTTCTTCATCTCTTTAACGTAACCTTATGAGGAGTTTAAAGACAAAAGACACTGCAAATAACAGAGGCAAAGAACGGCTTTAATTTATATTATACATGGATAGGAAACATTCGTTTCTAAATAGATTTTTGTAAATATGAAAACCGGTCAAGTGTGAGTCGATCTTGCCCATCGTCGTCTTTAAAATATGGACATCAAACACTTTAATGTGATACTTGAACTTCTTGTTTTAATTATTTGCTCCAATGATCAACTTTCTTGAAGCTGGGAAAAATGAAACTTCTAAATTAATATGAAAAAAATACAGGGAAAAACAAAAAACCCGCTTGCTTGAAAAGCAACTAACTGAAAAGGCCGGAACAAGATAAAAAAAATATGCAACATCGTACAGATCAAATTCTTATTATTTTTTTTTTGTTTAATACTAGTAGGTACCTTTGAGATACTCAATACTAATAATTAACCCTTTTTGTTACATAAAGCTAATTGAAATTACTTAAATACGCAACACTTTAATTAACAATATGCGACACTAAACACTTCTTGAATATATGTTATTAAACAGACGTAATACTGTTCAGTTTTCCTTAACAATTTTTTATGCTAATTATAGGGTACAGTATCCGCATTCAGCTTATCCTTAAATAAAGTAAAGGCCCAGTTAGTGCTTACAACACAGATACACACAAACTGTTAGAATAAGTAAACCAGCCTACCACACTTTACAGGACTTAAAGGAAATGTAGAATTCACTTTGAATTAAAGTATTTTTAATTAATACCTTTGACCTATATATGTAAAAAAAAACTAATAGTAGTTTTGGATTTATTTTTATTTATCTTATTATATAATAGACTTTTTAAACAAATATTACTGATTATATTACTTTGAGATCAAAATATGGTGACATTATAATTACATGTTTTAACATATTTTAGATAGCAGATACTGCGATTATGGGTGAGTCCCTCATATTATACTTATAATCGAGACAGGTTAGTAAATCGGAATTCGTATTCTAATTTCTCTAAATACTTGATTAGTCAAGTATTTTTATAAATTAAAAGATTTCCGACCCCATACACTAGAAAATCTAAAGGAAAAGAAGGAATTGATGCTTGAAGTTTTGTATAAAATTTTATTTTATACAAAACTTCAAGCGTCAATTCCTTCTAGCCGCGTCGAGTATGACTAATTATTATAATATGTAACTATATGTGCAACTATTTTGTGAAACAATTTGGAATGAAGCTTCGATGATGCCAGGAGCAGGAATACCGTGTAACTAATTTGCCTAATATAACCAACAAAATACGTACTTTTACCTATTTTTGATGAAAACTTTCTACATAAATAAGCCTTTTCTATTAAAATTGTATTAAAAACTTAGAAACCTGGTAAAGTAGCTTTCGGTTAAAAGTTTTGTTAAAAGCAGTATTAGTAGCGGACGTCTATAGCTCCGGCTTAACTACCTGCCTTAATATGGATCTGTTGAATTTGGTTATACCAAAAACAACCTTACGCTTTCGGTATAAAGCTGATATTAGATTGTACAAAGTATTGAAACGAAGTCTGTATTACGTTCCGTTTCAAGGTTATTGTGACAATAAAAATAAATGAGAAGTATCTTATTTAGTACCGACGTCGACTATAGGTCATTCATTATAAAATGAAACGCGCAAAGAAAATCACAAGTGTGACAAACCATTACATCACAGCTAAACGTACCAGACTGATAATTTGGCAACCCTACCTACAAGCCCGGCTAGCTCAGTCGGTAGAGCATGAGACTCTTAATCTCAGGGTCGTGGGTTCGAGCCCCACGTTGGGCGCAACTTTTTATGCTTTTATTTATTTAACTATTGCAAAAAAAAAATAATATTACCTGCAATTTTTCGTTCTCGCATTTTCCTCCAGAGCTGCTCGGCTTTTCTCATCGGCCAGTTCTCAACTTTCGCACTGAACGATCTGAAGAATTTGTACTCCTTAAAATGGGACATTCTTCTCTCCATCTTGCTGGGCGTGTGTCCCGGCGGTGGCGGCGATGGCGCCTTCGGAGTCCCAGACGGCGACGCCATTTCAAGTTTGGAACGTTTTCTATTTTAAACCTAACACTGACCGCGACGAAGTCAAGACTTTTCACTTTTTAAATTCGGTTTTACTTTGGCCCCAAGATTAAACCCATTTGAATTTCCATTTCATATCGACCTCATTGCTCTTCGAGTCAACTAAAATAATCATTTTTGTTTATATACAATTCCTCGGTATAAACATACGAGTGTTATAATTTATGAAATGGTTTGTACTAAAAACTTTAATATTATTAGTTTATATTACACGTAAATAGTTTGAGATATATAATAAGCGTTTATTTTGTTCTGAAAATATTATAGTAATGAAAGATTAATGCGCTCCTAAATAGATAAACGGTATCTTATACACCCACTTAACTCTATTTCTGTTGTGGGCGCGGTCGGAACATCCACCGACCGTAACTTTTAGCCGTTTTATAAAGTTAACCTGAAACAAGACAGACATAAGGTTATATAATGTGAACACTGAATACTAGTTATGCTAATGCCTTAATATCTCTACTTGATCATATTGCTTGTACATATTGAATGGGAATTAGGTTGTAATCACCCTATAACATCCCATTTACTATTATGATTGTTGTTATTAATTAAGCTAAGTATGATTAGTCAGGAAAATATTGCCATTTGATAGTTATAATAGTGCAGTTTGTTTATATTAAGCTCCTAACATTTTTTACACAAATCTAGAGCCAAAAAGGACGTTTTATCATTTTAACAAAAATGTTTAAAGTCTTTTCTATATTTTTTATGTTCTGAGGTGTCGGTTCTGCGTTTCGTTTCATTGTGCTTTAGCTACACAGTACGGGATCCGATGTAGTCTTATATTTATTTATTTTCTAGTTAACTGCTGATTTTCTAATAACTCGTTAATCTTCGTCTCATATTCGCTCTGATCCATCTTCTGTCATCATTGTATTTCATTCATGGTCGTCTCACTCATCAGTTCATCACACTCAACTCGCTTATTTTACATATCTCACCGACTGCACTTACCACGCGCTTTCTCCTATCACCCAAAATAATAGAGAAAATTTTACTATTACCTATTAATTCAAAATTTCTAACTTAAATACTTATAAATTTACTGATCTATACTATAATTAAAAGAGAACATAATTTATCGTATGTTACTTTGTTTGTATTGAACAGAACAGGCGCCGAAACTACTGGATTGATTTTAAAAATCTATATTAATAAGATTATATAAACTACATATTTAACATAACGTCGTACAGAATAGTTTGCATCAGTAGTTAGAAGTAGATAAAGTTATAGGTCAGCTGTGTTTACGAGGAATCTATTTCCCTAAGGAAAACCCTATTCGAATTAATGAATAAATATTAGTATTTGAAGCATAATCCGATTCGTTCGGTGTCGTCTAGTTTCAACAACTTTTGCGAGGGCCAGTCATTGAATGGGTGACCAAAATTCTTAAGCTCCTCCATGCTTCGACAAACACGAAGCTGCAATCGTGCGTGCGGCCTCGCGTGGTGGTTCAGGGATACTTTTCCCTGATTATTTCTTGTCCCAGTAGTGGGGATTTTAATTAAACAACGTTACGAACATTTCTCAAATCCCCAGTTAACTACTTATAATAAGTATGGTAATTAATTGAGGATAAAAATAATGAAAAAAAAACGATGAACTTAATTATGAACTGCCTTTATTTTATTTTGAATATTTGATATTACCACTGATATTATAATATTGTATCCACCACCAGCCCTTTTTACGTCCCCACTGCAGGGGCTCAGGCCTTCCTTATGGATGGTTAAGGAGGATGGGCCATGACCCTCCACGCTGGCCCAATGCGGATTGGAGGGTATTAACGACTGCAAATTCAGCCGGGACCAACGGCTTAACGTGCCTTCCGAAGCACGGAGTAGCTCGAGATACTAATTTTTTGGTCACCCATCCCGTGACCGACCCTTGCGAAAGTTGCGTAACGACTACGATCGCGGGCCGCGGCGCTTATCCACTACGCCACCGAGCTACTCTAATATTGTATATTGTATATCAAATTGATATTAACAAGAAAAATCAATATAAGTCATGTTTTGTTTTCTTCGATGATATAAATACCTATGTGGCGTAAGTAATGTTTTTGTTATTTGGTAAAACGTTTCCAGTTATTTGGTAACAAAAACAAAGCTGCTACTCCGATTATGATACACCCACTTCATGCCGATGATATTCAAATTGTAGTAAACCTTAAATATAACAAAGGAATTTTAAAAATCTATCTACAATTTGTGGAGACATCGGTGAACATACATAAAAAAATCTTAAAGAAAGAGTTCCGTACATTAGCAATGAGAACGCAAAAAAACATTTTGTTCATTTTACCAGTCGCGCCTAGTTATATTAACAATTTATTTGAAATATTGTTATCAAATGAATCTAGATTTAAGTATGGTATGATGGGGTTGGCATGTTCTAAAGAATAAAAACCACTTAAAAATTAAAAGAATTAAAAAAAAAAAAACAATTTATTTAGTTACACGCGCAACTAATTTCTCCGTCTTTAAATGTAGCACTATTTTCGAGGTAAATGAACCGTTATTATTTTCCTTGTTGCTGCTGGTATCAAATTATGTATCCGTGAATATCAAATATAACATGAACCTTTCAAGACTCATATTTAACATAGCTATAGTATCTCGTTCGTTGTTCATTTGGCATTCAGAGAGCCATAAATAATTCCCTTTATACATGAAAATCTTTTAAAGTGAATTGATGCTTCGGGAGTACTTCAACTAATTTTTCGAAGAAAAAATACGTATATAATATTTTTCTATTATCTGACTGGCGGACTAAATAGAATTGCATATTTTTACCCAGTCGTCATCTCTATTATTTATAATTATCTTCACTTTTTTGAAAATATTTTAAAATAATAGCTTTTTTATAGTTCACGTTTTTTTTCTGAATGACCTCACTCAAAAATATCGTATGTATTTTAAATTTCCAGAGAATTTAACATTTTCCCTGAAATCTAAATGCTACTAGAATTCATATACAATCCGTAGCCCCACGAGCCTAGAAAAAACAAAGGTACATTACATACAACCGCTGTTTGACTTAATTCGAACATTCCTCCCACAGCAGAATAAATAAGTTGTCAGAAGAAATAAAGTGAAACATTACAGCGCAATAAATGGCATGCTTTATTTAACCTTTAGAATAAACGAGATAATAAGTATATCTTTTCTATATTAACATGAAGAAGAAAAGGAATAATTCTTTCACATGCGGGAAGCTAAATCATAAAATATTTTCATTTACTCATATATCGAAAAATAATTATTTAAGCATATAAATAATTTACTAATACAAGTTCTAACAATGTGAACATTTTCAATACGCTCATGTTCATATTTGTATCATTATAAATAAGTATATTATTTTATAATATATATTTTATTATATACTTACTTATAATGAGACATCTTATATATTATTTTCTATTCGCGTATATAATTTTTTCTCTCTTTATTAAGGAACAGATAGTAGTAAATTTTATTTATCATAATAAAGTCTAGTACATATTTTAAACCTATACCTATAGTTCCCTCAAAGATAACAACCTTTTTTTTCTTCTGTTGACCTCCGCAATTAAAAGAAAGCACTCAAAATTATCATTACAGAGAAAATAAAAACATTACAACCAATACATTTACACCACTCGATCTATCACTGTACATTACACAGAGATATCCTTATAAAACTATTTTAAGAATGATGCATCAACTATATTGCTAATTGTCTTATACAGACAAATGATGTCGATAAATTCACAACGTTGCACAATTTTTTTTAACATGTCCTCCACATGTTAAAAAAAATTGAGAGAAGAAACATGGTTTGAATGTTGGTGGCCTATTTTGTAGTCCAGTGATCTTAGGAACTTGCGCTGCAATCTCTCCGTTTTATCAACATGGACCATTTAATAATGATTTCAAACAGTGCTTGCAAATTCCATTCTACTCCGCACAAAAGTATTAAACAATATTTTATAAGATGTCGCTGATTTAAATGATTCTCCCGCTCCTAATATAAATCCTAAAAACTTGTATGCCTTATTAACGATATTGTCAATGTGAGGAATGAAAGAAAGCTTTGTGTTAATATTTACTCCCAAATCCCTAATCTCATTTACAGGTCGTAAAAGTTCACCACATAGTGTATATGGATAATTTATTGCACTAATTTTTCTTGTAAAAAGTGTCCAATTTATACTTTTATACTGTGGTGTATCATAGTATCACTAGATGTAGCTGTACAAATAGTACATCGCATTGTGGTTTTACTTTTCGCGTTATATAACTTAATTTCATGCCGAACAATTTCATATTCCGGAATATTGCAGTGTTTATACCTGGCTTGATATAACCTTAGATAGGGTCCTTCAAGCCGGATCACTTTTTGAATGAATATCCTAGCCTGAAGTTTTTCCAAACAAGTAAAAAAACAAGACATCTAGAGGAGACAATTAACAACTAATATCGAATTTGGGAGTAGGAGAACCACCGGGGTGACATGTATTGAGGAATACTAATAAGGTACCAAATAAACTGTGGGTACAATTATTGATCTTATATGCAAGAGTTAATAAACTTGTGAAAACGAAACTAAATAAAAATCTTGCGAAAATTTGGAGAATATGTAATAAGGATAGTCGTCTTAGAATAGTTCGCATTGTCTTATTCTCTGGCTTGATATAACCACGGACAAAAGGTATAGTAAAACATTTATCTGGATTTAAAAATAAATTGTTATTTCTTCCAAAATGTTCAAAATCATTAAGATCGCCTTACAGCGAACTAGCATTATTTGTAGCTTTTATAACTCTATACTTATTCTATTATCTCTATATTATTTTCAAAAACCTTAGACACTCAGCTGCTAACAGAACCCTCCTTATGGTGTATTTTGGTCTCTGCCAATCAATTATTAGTTACTGTTTAACTGTTTGGGGTGGT